AAGGGCCCGGGGCTGCTGCGAGGGTCTAGCACTTACCATTACCGCTTTTTTGCAAACCGTTCCCACCCTGGTCCCAGAAAACCCTATCCAAAGCTTCACCATGTGATGGTGTGAGGTTCACCATCACAGGTTCCACCATTTTGCCAGGACCATCCTTATCCTCGAGCCCTCCCTAAGCAAAACGGCAGCCAGGATTCTGCAAGAGGGTGCTGAATGCTGCCGGGTTGCAGCACAGACATACTCGGCATTTGCTACATGCCAGTGCAGCATCTAGTACAGTATAGCTTTGCCGCATTGCTTAGCTGGTGGAGCCCACTGTCATATAGGACATGGAGACAAACGTCTCCCCCCGGATCAGGATCAGGAATCACAACACTGGTGAGACCTGCACCCTCCTCAACCCGCCACGCCTCTGCAAGGATGTTTTGGAGCACCTTGACACGACGAAATGCTGGGGCAGAGGAGAGCTAACGGAGACACTGGAGGGGGAGGTGATATCTATACTCATCAACGACCCGGTGCACGGTGGCAGCTATACCTTCAAGGAGGTACAGGGTGAGACACGTCTGGAGTCTCTTTCAGGCTGGACGATGTTTCTGCATGATTAAGCTGTCTCCAGAAGGTTGGCTTAAAGGAGGACCCCGCTAGCAATTTAGGACACGAGTTGCCTGAGGATCTTTCTCTGCTCTGGTTGAGCATGATTCCTTGGGCTCAATTATTGGACCAAAAGAATCGGACAATCTTTTCTTTCAACCATTTCAAGTTGCTGTGTGTATCTGGAGTCTGGGAGTCGAAGGTAGCAGAGATTGCGTGAGGCAATAGAGCAGCATTCAGCGAGATTTTCACCGAAGTCAGACCTGTGCGGTTGCTTTCGTGCATGCCTGCGGTCGGGCAGAGTGCGGGAGCTTTCTGGTTGACGGTAGATGCAGCGATCCACACCCCTTTTCCAGTGTAGTGGTGCCTGTTTGGAGTATGTCCCTCTTCTTCCAGGGCTGCTTCACTCGTCAATCCAGAATGAGTTGACATGATCCCTGAGCCGGGTGGTCTGCTCTGAAGTTGCCTGGTTGCAGCATCCAAGGCAGCCTGTTGCTAGAAGGCAATGCTTAGCCTGTCCTTCTGCCAGGATTCATAATGACGATATGAGGAGCCTCACTGCAAGACATCGTCTGCAAATTCAACCTTTCTTCTGAGGATGCTAGGCTTCTTCTGCAGTGGGGACGTTTTTTGGCTGAGCAGCAAGCAAGAGCTTTTCGTCCAATCCTGCCCAAGGGGGTCATTTTATTATAGCTCATGCTCGTTTCCGGTAGCTGCACTTTTCTGTTGCAAGAAGGGTCTAAGCGCTTAGAGTTGCGTTGCCGGCGTCTTGATTGAAGAAAGCACCTGCATTGAAGCTTTCTTCGCTGGTAGTTGCCCATTTTGTTCTATCATGTAGTCAAGCCTTGATGCAGGACTGTACTCCAGTGTCTGTCCAACCCTATTTTCGGGGCAACATAGAATCTGCTGTTTCGCTTTGGGGAATCTGTAGTGTGATTTGAAGCAGTTGGTTGGAGATTGTAACGACAGGGCGCATGCCTTTTATGTAATCCTTAGTCGGATTGTTCTCATGAAAGAATTTTCCTTTCTGCAGCCTTTCAACCTCCTCCAAAAAGAGCCTGCAGAAGAATGAAGGTCTTCAGTCTCCAAGATGGGATTGATAAGGAGGGGTTCTTTAGAGAGTCGGAAGAGGCCCCGCAGGTCATTGAGATCATCAAGAAGGGGCAGTATCCGCTCATTGCAGATGTCAGGAAAGCAGGAAAGACGACGCTGAAACAGGAGGTCGTGGACCTGCTCCACGGACATTCAGTAGACACGATCAGGGGCGAAAGCGAAGTCAGGGTAATTGCAGTCACGCTTGGGTGGGGTTTGGAGATGCACGGACAGGTGATCCTCTGGCACCAGGATCTCAAATTCAGACTTGAACATCTACAACAAGGTTCCCCATCCATGACTTTGTGTCAAATGCTGAGAAAGATCTAGAGGTGGTGCAGCGATTGGGATCCTCTTGTAATCTCTTGAGCACTCGCCCCTCCTCATTGTGTTTGCTGCCCTGCTTTCGCTGATTGTTCTTGCTCGTGTAGACACAGCTGCCAGAGCACTCGGTAAACGATTGCTTGTTGTCATTGCAGGAGTCCGAAACAGCATTCTGGAAGTATGTGATTGATGATGTCGTTCGGAAATCTCAGGGGCTGCTGGTGCGACATCTAGACACGACAGATTCCGCCGCGGGGTTTGCGAGCCTCTTCCAGTGGGTCAGGCCGACTGATCCCTTGATTGTGCTGTGCGTCGATGAAGCCTCCGAGTTGGCGAAGGCCTCCATCATGAACCGTGCGAGCCTCATGCACTGCTTCCGGGACCTGCGCGAGGCCGCCACGCGCAGGCAGCACCGGCTACTTTCAGTCGCTTTCTTCGGCACCTTCACGGTGCTGCGGATTGTTGACGAGCTCAATGAGGGAAGACCGGGGCCTGCTGGGTAAGGCTCTGGAAACCATGCCGTCTGGTCACTCTTGAATAGTTGACTAGCTCATTGCTTGGTCATAAAGGCAGAGTGTAAGCTTGTCTTTCAAAATGGTTACGTCTTGGTATCCTGACCTTTGGCTGCTCAGTTACCAACACACTTTTCGTGCGCACATCCTGTCCTGGTTGAGTCGGTTTGCTCCAGAAGGTGGTCTTTGCTATGTAGCAGAAGAAGCGGATGCTTTCAAGGGTCAAAAGTGCCTTGTCAGTCGAAGTCGTCATTACTTGCGGTTTTGCCGAGAATGGATAGTCACCAGGTCTTTGATAAGACTTGAAGTGCTCATTATCGACTCGAACGACGCTCAGAAGTGGGTAGTGTCTTATGAAGCCGAGTTTCACTCTGCCTGGTTTCTCCTCCGTGTACGTCTGTTTTCAGTGGCTCAATGTCCAACCTGAGCCGGTCTTCAATCTATATTCTTCATTTGCAGCGCCATTTTCCGGACGTCGCCGTTCCTGTTGGCAACAGGTCCTGAAGTGATCAGGGGCCTCAGGCGCTTTTCTATTGAAGACGTCGTCCAGCTGCTGGAAGAATACGCCGAGCTGTGCAGAGAGGAGCTCGCGAAGAGGCCGGTTGCGCTGCAGGACCTGCAGAGGATCGCAGAGTCCATCTTCGAGAAAACCAGGGGCCACAAGGGCCAGACCATCGCGTGCCTCATGGCGTTGCAGACCAAGCAGCTTCTAGAAAAGAATCTAGACGGGCCCCTCGTCGTAGAGCAGTGGCTGCAATACCTTAGGACAGACCTGCCTGCCTACATCGCTCAGTCTACTGTCTTTCGAGCCACAGTCCAGAGTGCTCTCCAAGCCACTCCAGCCCAGCTCGAGCTCCTCAGCTCCGTCCTCTATAATGGAACCGCAACTGTGCCAGCTGACCAGGTGCAAGAGATCGCAGAGCCGTTGCTAGCAGAAGGAGTTCTTGTGGAAGAACCGCATGGGGAATCGAGCGAGTTTGGCTACCGGAGAGCGGCAGTCGCCCAGGCGAAGTCCCCGGTGACCCTCGCGCTCGCATCCCCACTGATCAGCAGCTGCATCTTCTCGAACATGGTGCGCGACGTGGTTGAGTGCGAGCCTGCCCCCGCAGAGTACCTGGAGTACATCGACTTCCTTGTGATTGAGGTAACGTGGCTTCGTTAGAAAAGCTTTTCCTTTGAATAATAGTCGGAAGCTTCAATGTGTTGGGATCTTGTTCGTTCGCAGACATGTCATAGTGTTAGATACGGCCAACCCTCCCTTGGTGTACATTTGCCCTTCCGGCGGGTCCAAGTTTTGTGGGACGGTGACTAGAACGCCACAATGCAAAGTGCAGCTTCACAAATCAGGCGGGTGTTACGAAGTTGACTCAGTTCAAGCATGAGCACCCAATCATGTCACTTTTTTTCCAGACTCGCAGCAAGGCCAGTCAAGGCACCATTTTTAAGCAAGCCGATTTCAAGTTGGCTCTTTCCATGACAATCGCCAGTAAAAGCGCACTGTACACCGAAATTTAAGATAAAGCCGACACTGGTTCTTGGCACAATCCGATGCAGTTTCTGGACCACACTGATATCACCTGTCCAACCAGCAAATTTCCACTCTAGGCAGCATTGTTGAGTGCGCTGCATAAAGGTTGTGCATTTGAAAACCTTTGCGTCCATACACGAATGTTGACTCTTCAGGTGTTTACAACCCTGTTTACGCCTTGCAGACGGTGCGCAACCTGAATTGGGCCACCATTGCATGTCACAAAGCAGCAAACGTGTCGGGGGAGCCGTCGGAGTACGCACTGCAAGGCCAATTCTGGTTGATACTGAATCAGCTGCTCCGGAAGACCGAAAAGGTCCAATTCTTCAGGTATGAGAATTGGCCCCTTCTTTCATCTTTCCTTCGCCTGCACTTCATAGGGTGGGTGAGGAATGTCGACCCTGCATATCTCTGCCAAGCCATCTCCTTGTGTTCTTTGTCTGGTCGGCCGTTGTTGAAGTGTAAGGTCTTCTTTTCGACCTTTTCGGTATGCATCTTCTTTTCAGTGCCCAGGAAGAGAATGGACAGGCCAAGAGGGAAAAGATGCTCAGGGGCTTGCCATTCTTTCTCAAGGATAATCTTTCCTTAGACTGTTTGACGTCATAAGCAGAGAAAAGTGAAGTCAGTGTGTCTAGTATTTTCCGTAGTATCCCTCATTCAGCATGTAAAATATCCTCTCAGTGTTTGTTTCATGTGTCCTTTGCCTCTCCACAGCCTAGTCGCCGAGGCCAGGAACATAACGACTACTTCGGGAAATGTGCGGAGACGGATCGACTTCCTCTGCTGGCCCCTTCCACATCGGCTTGGGACTATCAGGCCCTTCGCGATCGAGCTGATTGCGTTCGCTGGGAGGGCCGACATCCTGGAGCACATGAGACGTGGGTACCCGAAGTTGCACGCCGCCGACGTGTACGGACGAGTCGAGACGTGCCACACAGTGGTCGTCCACGTGTCAGCGTACTGGGCTGCCAAGAGGGGCGCCACAGACTACTTCGGGCCCCCCGAGGGTGTTGAGGACGTGCACGTCGTGCAAGTTCTCTTCAAAGAAAATGGGGCAAAGGCACGGATCGCATTCGAGGATAGGGAAAGGGATAGGGAAATTTCTGTAGCGGGTTTGCGCAAGGAGGCCAAAATGGTTCTTTCGAAGCTCACGACCCCTCCCAGCTCTACTCCCGGCACCCGACGGCCCTCTCTTCCCCAGCCCCCTTAAAAGAAGACAATCAATCAGTAGATGGACGGCAAGCTGGTCGTTCAAAAGGTTCTGGTTCCGCTTGGAGAATGCTGATTGACATCAAGTGCAGCGGTCTGACATGTGCTCTCGCTTTGACAGCTTGTGATTTGACTGCTGATATACGTTACATGCCGGAATATATTCCAGATTTGCCGCGAGTCAGAATTTCGTACGCAAGTGACACGAAGGGTTCGGTTTCTTGTTTGGAATATATGTGCAGTCAAATGTGGTTGGCAACCTTTATTGACAGAGTTTAAGGCCAACGTACGACTGCCCCTGGGCAGCTCCTCCGATAGTCATGCATGTGATTTTAGTGCCTGTTGCTGCATATCCCAAAACTTAGTTTGAGGTATGCACTCCGTTCAAATGATATAATCGCAAACACTAGTGATGCAAGTAAATAGTGATATCATACTTAAGAATACCCTTGCTCACAGCTATAGTCGTCAGATTGTATAGACTATTTGTAGTTACTACTGTTCGACTCCCGAGTCAACGATCTCACCAAACATACCGAACATTATGCGCTATGATTGATAGGGCACAAATGTCCAAGGGTGTTTGAGCTATTAACAGCGCAAATCCGTCCAAGCTGTCCAAGGTTTCGGAAAAAGTCGTCTCGACCCCTAGATCAATGACGTTGTCAATCATACCAATTATTCGCACTACGATTGAGAGCGCGAGACTGTCCAAAGTGACCAAGCTGTTCAATTCTATGGGGACATGTCATCTCGACTGACAGTGACATCAACTATACCAAACATTATGCGCTACAAACCTCTTCAAGGTAGTCAAGCTTTCCAAGCTTATGGAAGCACACTTCTCGCCCCTCAGTCCGATGACATGATCCCCCATACTATCATAATGTGCTGCTATTGATTTGCATGAGCTCTTGATAGTGCATACGAGAGTGTCCAAGCAATCTGAGGGTTTGGGAAACAGTCGTCTTGACCTCCAAATCGATGACGTCATCAACCGTACCAATCATTACGCGTTCAATTTGATAGTGCAAACACGTCCAACACACATGGTGTCCAAGCATTTGACATGGGGTCGAAGGAAGGCTCCTCTGGATGACGTCAGCGGCCAACTTCAGCAGTAAACACTCGAACCGGCGTCTTGCCTGGGTGATACACTGTTCACACAATGCCTGAAAACCGCGAATCCGGCAGGCCAGGCCAGGTCGTTCCGCCAAGAAACTCCGGCCGGCGATGGCAGGTCCCTCGTACCGTCCGCCTCGACGGTGAAATTTGCTGCGGACGCCCGACTCTGGCGGCCAGTGATCGCCCAGATGGTAGTGTGAACAACCCAGCATTTTCCGGTCGGACCGCCCGTCGGCGACCGGTACCTGCCCGG